GCAGCTATTACACAGCGTGCAGGGCAACTAACAATGCAAAGCTCTACAGAGCAGACGAGTCTTTCTTCTTTCCCTCATCTCTTCCTCTCCTTGGCTTTCTCCACCTCCCTACCACCACATCACTAAATCCAATTGCATTGTGGAGCTAGGGGGACACTGCAACCCACTCAAAAAAAAAAATATCAAGGCAAAAACAAAACTAGATTCCAGCTTACTCTTTGCTCCTTACGCCTTCATGCTTTAGAAGGGAAAGGAGGGAAATCCTTCCAAAGTCAACTAGCTAGCTCCAGAGGGAGCCACTTTTCTTTCCCTTTTGTGGAACAGGATGAATGTCACACTTCTGAGTAGTTAACCAAGACTAAAGAAAGCCCAAGAGTAAATCTGCAGGATTTAATAACCTTGCAAGTGGAAAATGTGCCTGAGAAAAGAGCAGCCAAGCTTCATCTTACATGTTTGTTTGTTTTTCAATCTTCCTCTCTGCTCTGGCTCTCAAGAGCAACATATTTGTTAAGCTTTCCACGTCACGTTTCAGTTCCTGACTAATGTCCAATTTAAGCACTCATTTCAAGATTCATTCAAGTCTTTTCGTCTTAGAGTTCTTCCCTCTCTGGCTCTGTTGAGATCTGAGGAGTAAAACACTGAATATGGTACTTTTGCAACCACCTACGGGATTCTGGGGTGTTAGCTGGAGATGGAGTGAAAACAGATCCTTCTCTAAATGACCACAGGAAGTAACAGGAAACAGAGCTTTTAACTCCGAACAGGGCCAACAAGGCTACCCACAGTTTTATAGGAGGTTGCAAGTCATGATCAATAGTAACAAAACAATCCTTCAGTGAAAAGTTCTTCTAAGAAGTCCTGAATTTAAACAACAACTCACTACCCTTGAATACAACTGCTACCTAACTGGCAAGTCAGATCCTAATGACCCATGCCTTCAGTTCTGGTGATTATCTACAAGTGTGCAGAATAAGCAAAGTCAGAAGAAGGGGAACACTGACAGAAGGTGAAAAGTAGTGAAAGGTGAAAGTTTTCCAGACTCATAAGGGTGCACACCTAAACTCGACTTATTGCAACCCACAAAGTAAAAAAAACTCTCAGCCACTGGCTTCTCACGCTACCAGTACAAGTGCAGAGATCCCACAACTCTTTCCTACAGCCATAATTACAGAGACAAGGTCACAAAAGACACAATCTGCCAACATGAGCTGCACGAGGTCATATGGCCACTCTAGCTATAAAAGTATTTTAAGAGTAGTTCAGTCAGTCAGGTCACTTAACTGACTTTATTTTTGTCTGTTTTTCAAACAAGCAGCAATATTTTCCCTTACATTTTGTGTGTGGGAGAACAGGAAGCAGGATCTACTCCTTAGTCACCAGCCTAGTATTTCAGTACACATCCCTAACAATGCCATGGAGTGGTCATGTCTCGCTGCATTCTGTAGGTCTAAATCCATCAAAAATGCCAAGAAGGAGCCTCAACCCAACAGTGAAGGTGGGACAGAGCACTGACAGCTTTCAGAAGTTGTTCAGATCACAGGAAGACCTACCCTGCATTAACCAAGAAGTGGGATGTATTATCTGCAAAGCCCCACAGCAAAGCTTCATGTGACAGAAGCTGCTCCAGCTGCACATCAGAAAGGCATCCCAGAGTTCTCAAGCTTACTTCAACCTGACTAGTTCTAGGGCAGTCTCTTCCACATAATGCTGAGAAGAGCCCCAATGTGTTTCCTGACCAGAAGGCTGCCTGAAGACCCAAAGAATCAGCAGTTTGGGAACTGCTGCTTGTTGAAGGTAGCAAGAGACGAGAAATGTGACAAGAACTTACTGTGAGAAAGCCTTGTAGTTCTAGGATTAGTTCTAGGAGACAGGACTCCAATTCTCCTTCCAAGGATGCTTAAAGAGATCTAATTCTCCAACTCTTCCAGCCCTCTTCAGAAAGATGCCTGAAGATACTAAATTTGACTAAATACTAAACTTCAACAGGTGAGTGTCAACAGTACCCAGCTCACCCGAACAAGGTTGAAAGGTGACAATGTCACAACTGGCTCACACTGCAGAGCTCCCCTAATCAGTGTGAGCTACAGGCAATTAATCATTGACTCTGACTCCAAATAGTCACGTGCACACTCTCCCCGTGCTGCCTCATCTCTTTTAAACAGACTTCTGTGGTTTGGCAAATGGTCAGATTAAGTAGAGGATACATGAAGTTAAGCAGAGAATGTTCTCAGTATGCAGCAGTCTCTGCAGGTCATAGATCATAAAAATCCTTACAATTCCTAGGATCAAAGAAGCTACAGCCATAAAATACTATTACTTCACTAAGTCCATCACCCAGCCAAAGCAGGTTATCCAGAAAACACGTGACAAAGTAATAGTGTATGAATAAGTCGAGTAAATTTTTACTTGAAAAAAAGACAGTAAGCAAAGTGATATACATGAACAAGGTCTGAAAGTCAAAATTTAGTTTTGTTTCTAAGAAATAAGCAAGCACATTTCTACAAGGCAGCTATAACATGCTAACCTACATCTAGTGATGTGGCTTTGCCATGAAATCCCAGCGACAGCCCTTCTTTCTCACTCCCAATTGCAAATTTCCATCTCCAAACACAAATGCTTTTCACCACACAGTTCAGTAAGAAAATTACTTTGGAGCCCTAGTGCTGAAAATGCATAAAAGCACAATCTTCAAATTCTCAACACCACCCCCCCCCCAAAAAAAAAAGAAATCAAAGGAGAGAAAGAAAAGACACAGTTTGGCTCCCGCTGCCCTACAATAACAATAATGATAATAATCTAGAGGTTGCAGGAGGTTCGTCTACACTCCATGCCAAGTCAATTTGCTCCATTCACAACTGTGTATAATTGTCCCTGGGACTGCAAAAATTACTGTCTTTTCACTCGCAACAGTATTGTAAAAATGCTTTCAAACAACCACAAACCCTTATTTGTTAAAACAAAACTATTTGCTCTTTTACGGTTCATGTTAGGTCTGGCATTTCTGTGCAGAGGGTCAATAATCCAGTCGTTCAAAAAATAGTCACGAAAGACGTATTAACATAAGCTGTGCATTAAGACACATTTATATGCCTGACAGTAATGGCTCTGCGCTGTGCACTGTATCAACTCACATATACTTTAGCAGGAAAATAAAACACTTCGGAAGAATTTCTGCTCTCCTAAGGACAATTAGCATAACACTAACGCTGAAACGAGAGAGCAATAAGGACTGACAGAGTCATGCTTCATCCCAGTCTCCAGAACAGTAGTGCCTGTCCCTAAAGTTTGCACCCATCACAGCATGCTTCCCTCTGCTAAGCGCACACAGCCCGCGCCTAATGCTTCCCCAATCCTTAGATTAACGAAACACAAGTAAGCAGTTTCGAGATCCATTATCCTCTGCTACCAAACCTCCCCGGCGCGGGGTGCCCAGGGAGATCGGCCGCGTTGCCCGCAGCCACGCTTCGCCTCCCGAGCCCAGGGAGCTTCCCTGGCTCTCGGACACCAGCGGAAGGCTCCTCTGGGTGCGGGCTGTGCCCGCGGCGCTGCCCCGGGGGCAGCGCACGGCGCTGCGGGACCGCTCCGTGCGTATTCCAGCCGCGCACGGGTCACAGCAGGGCGGAGCAGCACCGCGAGTTAACGGGACTGCGCCGAGTCCCATCTGGCCCCGGAGTTTGAAAACTCTCGGCAAACCCGCAGCCACCACAGCGCCCACAACTTGGCCGGGGCTGGAGGGCGCGAGTGCCTTCAGAGGGACACCGCCTGTCCGGGCTGTGGGAGCCGTGGAACAGCCACCACCCCCGGGAGCGGGAGCCGGAGCGGGCTGTGCCGCCGCCTCCCGCCCGAGGGAGCTCCGACACCGCGGGAAAACAGCCCCGAGAGAGCCCCAAAACCGCGGGGAAACAGCCCCGAGCGGCCGCGGCGCCGCTCCGACAGGGTCGCGACACAGCGACCACGGCGGGTCCCACCGCGCCCTCTCTCCCTGCCCCTGCCGGCCTCCCCTCAGCCGGGGTCGGACCGGCTCTGCAGCCGCGGGGACACCGCCGTGGAGCGGAGGGTGGGCTGCGCGGGGCACCCCGGCTCCGTCCAGCAGCCCTGCCCGCCGGTATCCCTCCCTCCACCAGGATGCCGGGGCCGCCGGGATGCCCGCCCACCCTTCCGACGAGAATGCCCTGAAATGCCGGGATACCCACTCACCGCTCTGCCGGACAGGGCTTGCGGGTGCCGTGCTGCAGCAGCCACCAGTTGCGCTTCCCGCCCGGGACAGCTGCAGTACCTCAGGCAGGATGGGATGCGAAGTCTCACCGCCACCGCAGCCCCTCTCGCAACGCAACAAGTGGCGCGGGGCGGGGGCGGCGCGGGGGCGGTGGCGGAGCGGTCGCTCAGCTCTCGGGGCGCCCCGGCTGCCACTCACCGCGCCGCGCGCCCGGCGCCGCCGCGACACCGCCCCCCCGCGCGCGAGCGCGCGAGCGCCGTCTCTTGGGCAGCCGGGGACGCCGTACCCTGGGCCGATACCATCGGGTATCACTAGGGGGGGAGCCGGGCCGCTCAACCCGCCCGCCCGCCGTGCCGGCCCGCCCGGCGGCGGCGCAGTTCTCCCCGCGTGTCGCGGTGGTAGCGCTCCGGCGGCCATCGGGAGCGGAGGAGCCGCGCGGTGGGAAGCGTGCGGAAGGGCTGGGGGTTTCCCGGGAATGACCGGGCGGGATCGGGGGGTCTGCGGGCGGGTGGGAGGGAAGGACAGGCCACTCTCCTCCGGGGAGCCCTCGGTTCCGAGCTCCCCCGGCCCGCCCCCGGGCCTGTGCGTACCCGGCCCTGCCCGCGGTGTGTCCGAGCGCGGTGCGCGGGCGGCGGGCAGGGGTTTGATGCCGTGTTTGTGTCCTCACAGCTGCAGCGCAGAAATGATCATCCCGGTCAGGTGCTTCACGTGCGGCAAAATAGTCGGGAACAAGTGGGAAGCCTACCTTGGCCTTCTGCAGGCGGAGTACACGGAAGGGTGGGTGTTTGTCGGTGTGTTCTTTGACTCACGCTTTAGGTGCCATTGTACAGTGCGTAAGATCACAGAACTGTGTCCTCTGGAGATCATCTGGTCCAACCCCGCTGCCAGGGCAGGGTCAGATGCGTTAAGTGCACGATCGCGGCATTACGAAGCAGCTGTAGAGAGGCTGAAAACCACAGGTACACATTTAACTGAGGCTATTTAACCAGAGCTTAGAAATCGTAATAGGCAAGAAAGTACTAGTTTCCCCACTGAATCTTTCAGGGCAGTAGTATGGAAGTTGCCAAGTCACAGCCTTTGTACCCAAAACATTCTCAAATGTGTAATTCCGTGCTGCTTGTTTCTTCCCTTCCCCTTCCATACACTCCACTTTGACACCAACGTGGTGGTGGTTTTTAAAGGGAGAGAAAAGAACAAGTTACAAATGTGAGAAATAACTAGCACTGTACCCCTTTTGGGTTTTTTTTTTAGAAACATTTCATATTGGTTACCCGGAATTGCTAACCTTATTTATAAGCACTGGTTTGCTGGGAGAAGGGGAAGCTGTAAGTACCTGATCGATAGTCCTAAGGTTTCTGTTTTAAGAAGTCTGTCCGTGTTTTGTGTAGCCAGAGTTGTCTGTTAATAGTTCAAGGAAGGTCTAACTATGGTCAGACTACCTCAGAAGCTGCGAGAAGGAAATTCTTGAGAAATACTTACATTGTCATCGAGTTTAAGTATGAAGAAAAAGAAAAAAAAATCCATGGATGTTGGCTATTCAAAGGAGTAAAAATGAAGTTAGAGATTACGTTAAAACTGTTAAGTAGAAAGAAAGTAGTATTTGCTTTGCATTCAAATGGTTACGGATCCTAATAGTTCATACAGCTAAGTCCATTTAAAAAACTACTGGAAGAACATGTATCAGCAACATGCACTGCCTTTTCTCTAAAGTAAAACTGAAAACATTGCTATGGTATAGGATACTATTTTGTCAAGGAAAGCTTTGCTTTTTGAGCCTCATCTAAACTGGTAGAAAGTTGTGGTTATTCACTGTGCTTATTCTTTGATGTGGAGTTTGCAGGGGAAGGATATCCTGTCCCCCCACCATTTATCAGCTCCATTAAAAACTGTCCACTGAAAATCTTTTTTTCTAAATCTCATTACTTCTGTGAGCAGCCTTTTTACAGAGCATTTACATCTCAGAACTTGTCAAATGTAGCAGAGTAGAATTTTGCAGCTGCTAAATGAAAGGTATCTGTAAAGTTCCTAGAAATTTTTTATTCTTTCATTTATGGAGTTAAAAATATTACAATAGTTCAGGGTCCTAATCGTTTTTCACTAATACTGAAATTTAACAGAGCTATTCTGATAGTGCTTCTGACTTATTGTCTAGGCATTGCATTTTAATATTTTCCTTGTCTTCATTATTTCTCTGCTTTTGTACAGGACAGGAAGTTGTATATTGTCATTGACAAATGGTCACTTGAAAACAATTGCTGTGGTCACTGATGTGATTCTGTGGTGCTTGTTCAAACTCATACAGTTAGGGTATTGTAAGAAGCAGCATTCACAGATATCAAACAGTTAAAATTTTCCAGTGCAGAAATGGCTGGAAAAAATGGAAAAACTTGTCTAACAAATAAGTAGTTAAAAAAGACACCCGCACCTTCCTGTTTGTCCCTTAAAAGTGTTCTTTTTTTTCACAAGTCTGCAGACGCTGGAGGAAAAGGAAATACAACTAAAGTTGTCTTGGTTAAAATGTATAGTATGACTTCTGGAATTGTGATTAATGTTGGTATTTTTCATCTCTATTACCTGCATTTAGAAGTTCAGAACTTTCCAGATAGCTCTTAAAACTTACATGTCAACAGACATCAGATGCTTTTGTTCTCAAGTGTTTTGGAAAGTTTAGATATCATGTGATGTTATTTATAAGCATTCTTTTGAAAAAACCCACAGTGTTCATATACTTCTCTTAAACAACTTTTGTGGGTGCTAGTCCTAAAATGAACAGCCTTGCTATTTATGTCCTTGAAGAACTGTGGATAGGCACAGTATAAGCAGGGACTAACTGATATCAGAGAAGTTGCTGCAGTTTGACTCCTGCATTAAAGACTGTAACTGCTTGAGGCCAAACAACCTCTTTCTAGCTTATCCAGAGGCCTCCTTTCAGCCATTTGTATTTTAGAAAAGTATCCATCAGCTTCTTCCTACAGGAGAATTACAGGTTTTGGGAAATTACATTTTTTTTTAGCAAATGCATTATTATTGCACTGCATCATATCAATCTGAAGACCTGAGATCAGTCATATGTCATGAATGTCAAATTCTGAAGTAGTACCAGACTGGCTTTATGGTTAATAGATTGGAATTAAAAGAGCTTGGGTGGTGTCACATCTTTAAGAGGTCTGATAGCAATAGCCATGGAAGACACGTGCAGTGGTTCAGGCTGGGATGACTCATACATCCTCTACCCAACGATAAGAATCTGGAGCAGTCACTCAGAAGGAATTAGGTGGAAAGCCTGTAAAACACAGACTTCTTGTTGATCAGCCAGCACGTACTTATTTGCGGGGAGCAGGTTGTATAACTGAATGCTGCCTTGTATGGGAACTGGAAAGGAATTTAGCCTTTCTCAGAATTAGCATCCCTGTGTGGGGGAGTTTGCATTTTGAGTTATTTTAGTTTCTGTATATCTCACCTTTTTAGCGTGGCCTAGATTACAAATTTATCTTGTGACATAGGCAAGTATCATGCTCAGTTTACAGAAACAGGTTGTAACAGTGCCCTCTGAAAGTTCGATTGTTGTGTCAGCTGGACACCATCTTTGTCAGCAGGTCATGTGCTGTGGCAGGCCAGAGAACAGGCAGACACCCTGTCAACAGTAAATGGAAAAGAACATTAACAGCACATGCTGAATTTCTGTGTCTTACTTTAAACTGCAAACAAATTTTCCTTTATGACTGAGCTTAAAGTAATCAGTGTGTTGCTTAGGAAATGCTTACAAGTGGTTCTGACTCACTTCATCCATTATTTTTTTTAATTGTTGTTCATTGATAGAGATGCCCTGGATGCCCTTGGTTTGAAGAGATACTGCTGCCGCAGAATGCTCCTTGCCCATGTGGATCTGATTGAGAAGCTTTTGAATTATGCACCCCTGGAGAAATAAGATAGAAAAAGTACTATGCTGCTAGCCATGTGGAACGGTATCTCCAATTCTAAACTTGAAACTGGACTTCAGGCAGTAAAGGATGAAAGCCAACTGTAGTGCAACCATCGAGAGATGTTTATCTTCTGGATAAAATACTGCCCCGAGCCACTACCGTCTTTCAAGGAAACAAAGGAAAGATGAAGTCCACTTAACCAAGATTTGGAGATTAAAAGTTTGGATGCTTCTTTTTAAATGTGTTTGGAGTTGTTTTGTGAACTTTTAGATGCTTCTGCCAGTACAAATAAATGTTTGTTCATGTAGAAAAATTATTATATTTCATTACAATGTTGAAATAAAGGAGGTCTTTCCTTGTAACCTTCATAAGAGTTTCTGGATAAAGTTAAGCATACTCTTCAATGGATCTTGCCCTTTGGTCATGCTGGTTTTTTTGAGGTGAGGGATACTGCTAAGTAGCCAGTTCAGTGTCCTGCACTAGGCAGGCAAGGGGTAGAAATGTGGGACTGAACTCAAGTTCCAGTGACACAGAAGTGGGTGAGCTTGTTTGGTAAGAGTGAGGCATTACTCTGGAAAGCTGCTGGAGCCACCAGAATACACTTTCCACCGCATTTAAAGTCAACTTGCAGTCTCTACCCCAATCCTTACAAAACACTGGGGCTGCTGTATCTTAAAAACCAGTGAATCAGATGGTGCAGTGCCTTTGCTGAGGTAAAACATGTGTGAGTGTTCCCATGGAAAGCACTGGATGTGAGAATTTACGCATGCTGGTGTGAACAGGATCAAAGTCCTGATCCTGCCAAGCACCTGCACCCCTCTGTAGCTGGTACATACGCAGGCTTTCCACTTGTTAGTCATTTCACTGACTTCACGTTGTTCTGCGCGTGTGGCGCGGCACTGCCTGGCCAAACCGAGAGAGCTCTGCGCTCTCCTGGTGGCATGAAACAGGAAGAGGCCAGCTGTACCTGCAGGGCTTGGGAAGGTAACCTACACTGAGGCAGGCACTGACCCTGCCAAAGGGTCTCACCTTCCTGTTGCACTATCATCTTGTAAGTTGCCCCACGTTTCACTCTGTTCTCTGACGTGCAGAAAATGCAGCGTTCTGGGTGATGAGCGCACAGGCACACACACCCACCTTACCTGAAAGTGAAGGAGGCCCTTTGGTACACCTGTGCATGCCCAGGATTCTGTGCAAATGCAGCGTTAGCTCATCCGTTATGGAATGGGCTCGGAAAGGTGATAATCCCTTAGCTTGCAGCCTGTTACTCCTTGGTGCAGCTAAACTTTTGGCATTCACGTATTGGCTGCAGGGTAAGAAATATCTCTGTGGATTCTTTTCCGTAGTTGAAGAACTACAAAGAAGTTGAACAAAACCTGGCTTTCCAGAAATGCTAATTATTTAAGGTGTTTACTGGGTCAAACTTGTTCACCCAAACTAGATTGTCTCACAAAAGAAGTGGGAGGACAGCTTGCCTTTGGCTATCATCCCAGCAATCTTTACACTTGAACTTGTGTTTCAATTTACTACAAGGCAACAGTAGATGTTTCCCATATTCATCAGTTCTTCACTGAAGACATTTTAAAACCAAATGCTTTATCCTAACGCAGAGAGAATTAAGCAATTAATTTTAGCATTTGTTTCATACTTGGTTGCGTAGCTTATGTTCTGCATGCCTGCTGTGTCAGCCAGCTAAACGCACTTCAAAAAAAACAAACCAAAACCCCTTCACTCCTCTTTCAGGTTATTTTTTTAAAATGGACACTGTGAAATAGAGGATGACCTTTCCAAACTGAACTCGTGTAGGACGCTTTTCCATGCTACAGTGGAGCGTTACAGGGTGAGACGTGCCAGCTTGTTCACAGATCAATCGCCCGGGCCCCACGCTCGCTCCGTGAGCTGCACTGGAAAGCGCAGCAGCCCAGACGGGTACGTCTGGCAGAGGCAGCCGTGCAGGATGCCGTGCAGAAAGCTGTCCTGCATCACTGCCAAGGAACTGGATTAGACGAGCTGACAGGACTTGGGTTTCTATCTGCAAAAGCAAATTTCTAATCTAGTTTTCTGCTTCAGAATAACATGTTTCTTTTCAAAGCGCACGCCAAGTTGTCTGATGTGAAAAGTTATGGCTCTTAAATACTTGTAATGAAAATGCAAATTGCAGAAACACAGCAGGCCTCACTTGAAAATGCTAAGGAAAAAGAAAAACCACCTTTGTTGCTCTCATTACTGTTCTCAAAAACAATGCAGTGGAAGCCAATGACAGATGTTACACAAGGAGCAGGAAAACCACCTGAGTAGCAAGACTATGGGACAGCAGTCATTAATTAGCTCATGCAGCACTTGACACCCTGTATGCAACACAACTTTTCCTCAAGAGTTTGCAAATGCAGTATTGACCCAAAAAAAAGCCATTTCTGTAATGTGGCAAAGCAAACAATTTATCTTGTTCATGTGAAAGGTTGTCTCAAGAGTTTTGTCCTTCAGAGGGCTAGGATCAGAAGCAGAGTTTAAATCCTGTTGCAGAAGGAGTCAGTGAAATTTTCAAGGGATTTCTATAAATCCCAGCTTTCA